ATATATATATATATATATATATATATATGCACGCACATAGACAGAGAAATGAAGAGAGAAAGAAAGAAGAACCCAAGATTAACTTTTTTAAAAACACAATTTAGCAAATATTTTTTCTTTATTTCCCTGCTTTGCTTTGTTGACAGAAAGGGACTGTATGCCATTATTCTTTGTCCTTTAATAACATTTTTGTAATAAATAACCAAGGATTTTCTATGTACTGTTTGTTCTTTCCCCAAGTTTACTTTGTCTTGTTTATCTGCTTTAATACTATTTGATAACTTTGGTTATTTTTGCTATATTTTTGAGTTCTTCTCAGCTTGTGCAGGCTTTGTATCCTGCTAACTCAACATTCCCCAATGCTACTACTCTACATATGTGTTAGATTATATCTCCCATCTTCCCCCCGTCTGCATGGCTAATACTATACTGTCATGGTTGAAGATTATGGTTTGCAATCTGGAAAAGAATACTTATTCCCTCCATTAACTTCTGCTCCTTTATTTTGCAAATCTTTTCCAAGTTTATATGAAAGAATGGCCTACATATTGGATGCAACCATTATTTTTAAATAAAACAGGAGTTGAAGTTCACATGTCTTAGAGTGCCCAAGGTTGACGAGCATTGTCTTAGAGTTTTGTGACAATCAAGCCACAGAATTCTCAGTCTGAAATCATGACTTGCTGAAATCAGTGGAGACATCATAGCTAAATCAAAAGCAGACCAACTAGATTAAAATTTAATATGCATATGAAACCAGCCTTTGTGGTTCAAGACCATAGTTTAACTTGGTTCGTGAAAACATGCTTACCTTTACGGAAAGGTGCTAAAGACATTGGAACAAGGCAAGAAAGAATACAAGAAGAATGGAAATATTCTTACTTTATTTCACTTTATATTCATTTTTACTCATTTTCAAAACTTTCAGTAAAATTATATTTTTTTAAAAAAAACAAATGCTGGTTTAGCAAATGAAACTGATACTTGAATATAGCCATTGATTGCAACAAGGAAGTAGGAGGGCAGTTAGAATGATAAGGAATCCGGAAATCAATTTCAAGGAAGAACTGCTGAACCGGTAGATCAGAGAAGCTTAGAGAACAGAAGATTTAAGGAGAAAATTTATAATTATCTTCAAATATCTGAGGGCAATTATAAGGAAGAAGGAGCAACTTTGTTTGGTGAGGCATCAGAGAATCCGATTTCAAAATAGCATCAATTGAGTGGAAGGAAAATTGTTCATTTGTGCTAGTTATGAAGACAAGCCTGCCCCAAGACACAGTGTGACTTGGGGAGGGCTAAAATATTCCATGGACAGAACTAGGTTGGCCATTATTATTTCAGTACAAATGTAGGAACAGCATCCTCCACTCGGTCTGAGGATACAGATCCTAAATTTGTCCTCCAACACAAAATACAATGAATCCTCAATTTTCACTATTTGCATCTCTTTATCCAACAGTAGGATTGGCTGTGCATTAGGGGCAATTCTCAATATGGTTGGCAGAAAAACAAGCAGCTCTCCCTAGGAAGATGAACTCGGCATTTCTGATGATTTCAAGAAGCTGGTTAGTTGATTACCTAACAGGCATTCTACAGGCAGAAATTGAGAGAAAGCTCCTTCTTGGATTTTTCTAAATTGGACAGTGGGCAGTCAGGGAACTTTCAGAATAATGAGAAGACACATTCCAAAAAGCCACACTAATAGCATCTTCTTCTACCTTCCATGATAAAATCAGCCAAAAAGTGTCACCAAGAGAAATTCCAAAGAAA